AGGCGAAGTACACTTTAATATTATAAATAGAAAATTGGTATATAAATATATAATTAAGTAAGGTAATTAAGAAGATTGAAGATTATGCATACGGTGAAATACGTCTAGTGCAAAATAAAGCAACCCTTGGTTGTATATATTGTATTTACTTAAATATAGTAAGATACTCTAAATATAAACAATACACTAATATGAGCGGTTTCCAACTTGTTGGATTATCAAAAATAATCCAACATTTTGAAAACGATATTGAAAAATGAACAAAAAATAATTAGTTTTTATGGATATTTTACATAATATTGCATATTAATTTGTAGTCTGATAATATCAGTTGAGTAATTATAAAATTAAGCTGTAGAAAAAAATAAGGGCGCGGTGCAAAAAAGGTTGGAAACCACTGCACTAGGTGTAAGTAAATGGAAACGAGCTTTTACAATGCACGGCAAATACGTTAGTCAGTTCAAAACTTTTTATAAAGCTTTATATACAAGAAGTACAGTAAATTGTTGTTTAAGATCTAACAAGTAGAACCTTTTTTTGATAAAATTTAAATATAGAAATTAACTAGTGATGCACGGCATCGTGCCTTAAGGCAAATTGCTGGAACTTCCCGTACTGTGATTTAAACATTTTAAAAGCTTTAAATTTTATTTAAAGCAATCGCGTTTCGTAGCTGTTAACATTATAAATCTTGGTACAAAACCAATAGAATAGTGAACAAAATCTGTACTTATTATTAAAATCTCTATAAAATATATGATGATTTGATGTGCATAAGTCTACGTCTATGTATCCGCACATACACACACATACATTTTTTCCAACGTATGCAAAAATGTTCAGAAACCACTAAAAATGTGCAAATATTTTCTTTTCGATTTTTTGCGATTATTAAAACTTACCCAAATGGAAGTTAATTAAAATTGAGGAAAAATAAACTACTAATAGATATATGACTGGATATTTCCGGGGTTAAGGCGACATAAAACCAATTTTTATGTTCGTGTTCAAATCACATTTATTTATTTTATTTTTGTATCATCAGAAATGATTAATGTGTAAAATATTTATGATAACTTAATAATTTAAATATTAATTTATGGACCTTTAAGAATTTAAATTAACTTATATTTGGCAAATAAAACATTATTTTTCTGAAACATGTCTGTAGGTACATTTGGTAGGCAGGTTTATTATATTTGCATTGGGTTAACATTAACAATAAAACCTAAGGTTCATCTTGTAAGTATCAATAAGGAACCAGTATCTATAACGGAGTAATTAAAAAGTATATACCTGTAAGAAGTATAAAAATAACGTAAAATTTGTGGAAGGTATCATTTGTATTCTATTTAGAAAATTAGAGAAAAAATCACTCGTGATGACTTTTCTATTCAAATATTTACTTTATAAGAGCCTCGAATTGTACGGAGCTGAATATTATCACTGGGGCGCGTTGCAACTCTAATTTTTCTATGAGTCATTTAAAAAAACTATCGAATGCGAATTTCCAGCCAGCGAAATTTTCAGTATAATTGTATTTTAGGTTTTGTATTAATAAATTTAAAAAATATTTCTTATATTATAAATCCATTTTCGACATTTAGTTTTGCAAATCGTGCACTTTCGTCGTTTTGTTTCAGACGGAAAACTTTAAAATCTCTTCCTTTTTTACTTGATGTTATGACTTCTAAAAGTTTCTGAACTTTTCAGAAATAAATTCGGCAAGAACATTATATATAAACGTAGAAACATATGTTGAAATAACAAAATTTTGAAGCATTTTGAGTAAGCATTATCCTTTGAAGGCCATTTTCGAGTTACTTTCTTCTTGTTGAACAGAAAATTTTGCGCGAAGATTTATTATTTAGAATGAAAGTGACGTAAAACTTTTGGATAATTAATCTTACTGCAGGCAGAAGACTATATACAAAAAACATTTATCAAGAAAAACAAGAATTTAAAGTGAAAGAAAATATTTTAAATTTTGTGATAAGAAACAATTTTGATAATGAAATAATTTTAATGCGTTTTTATTGCTCTAATTAGCAATGCATATATGGATTAAAAAAAAATTAACATTCATTGATTTAAAATGAAATATTTAATGAATCAATATTAAATAATATAATTAACTTATAATATAATATAATTAACTTCCCGTAGGATAAGTTATAGTGATCGTCCAAAAATTGAAAATGAAAATTTTTGCATATCTTCACGTTTTAGTTGTTTCTGAACATTTTGGAATACTTTAGGAAAAATGGATATGTGTGTGTGTTTTGTGTGAATACAATTTTTTGCCCATGATTTCGGGCTCACGAATCAACCGATTTGAAATATTCCAACAGCATTCGATTCCTACTGATGGGGTAAAGTGGTGATTAGTTTTTGACAAAAACTGGTCCAGCCGTTTTGGAGATAGAAAGCTAAATGTGCAAAAAACGGTAGTTTTTGAGAGAACGAAAGATGCGATTTGAATGATTCAAAAAATCTTTTGTTTGTATTGACGAAACAAATGTTTTGGAGGAAGCAAAAGAAATTATTTGATTTGATTTGATTTTTGTTATTTCCAAAAAAATTTTTTTTTGAAAATTTAATTGATTTTAATTTTAATTCTAGCTAGAATTATAAAGCTTACTTATAAACTTGAAATATCATTTAAAATAATATATTTAAAAACATTTAATATTCTCCGAATATTACATTACGATACGGAAAGTTTCACCAATTAGCCGTAAGATACACCACTAGTTGCTTTTTTATCGTTTATCATTTATATAAGGGATGAATATGACAACCAATTCCATCGTATCTCCGATTTCTAAATGTAATTATCATTTATAATCATCTCTACGGAGATGACATTTAGCAATATAATTCAAAGACGGTTGCTTCCTGAATGAATTTCCAATTTGCTCTTCGAAACGGCGAAGTCGGGGATGCAAACGCATAAACTATGTGGTTTCAGGGTGAAGATTATGGGAAGTGTAACCTAAAACTACTAACTAGATGCTTGATAACGAAATTCTAATTACTAATGTGAATGAAAACCCACATCAGAGTTAAATTAAATTATATAATATTTTTTTTGGATTGGATATTAAAGTATATTACTCATATACACATACAATACAATTTAATATGCAATTATTAAAATTAGGTTATCTATATGAAATAAATTTATATTGATCAGTATAGTTTTGATAAAAAAACACCACATGCATTATGAAAAAATGAAGAGTGAATTAAAGTGATTCACTACATATTAGCGGTTGGTATAAACATACACTTTAAATAAACAATCGTCTTCGTTTTCATCCAATAACACCGAATGTATATATAAACACATTATCATATTAGTGTTCTGAAATATGTAGATTGTTGATATTCACAAATTGACTGGCGAGAAAACAATGATTGCAAGTTTACACAATATATGAAAACTGTAGACTAAACTACTAGTTACATACTTGTAACATTTAGATTGGGTAGAATTTCAAAAATAAGAACTCCAATTATAAGAATGACAAAGATCAGCAATTATATGACATTTATGCTTACTGTTAAGAAGTAGATAAATGTAATTATATTTTAGTACAAAATTTAAATAGTGTAGAATTAATAAGCAAAAAATAAACTTGAAATATTTCATGAAATTTTGAAAGCTTTATATAAAGGTTAATTTAATTCAAAGTCAATTATCAAATACTCAAGGAACCAAATTTCATATTAATATATACTTGACGATCAAATGAATAATAAATATTATTGTTATTTTATTTTTACTATTACTTTATACTGTAATTAGTACCAATCTTGGAAGTAAAATTAAGGTAGTAAATTGTGAAAAAATTACATAGTTAACCTTATTAAAGTTTTAATAATTAATAAATAATAATAATAATAATAATAATAAATAATAATTAATAAAAATAAATATCATGTGGCAAAATGTTTGTTGAATCATTAGAATCGAAAGTTTTGTTCTCTCAAAAAACTGCCATTTTTTACACTTTTAGCTTCTTATCTCTGCACGTCTCCTTATCAAAAGGAATCGATTGCTTTTTGAATACTTCAAATCCGTGCTCCCGAAAACGTGGACGAAAAATTGTATCCATACATTTACATATACACATACATCAATTTATTTTAATGAATGTTCAGAAATCACTGAAACTTTAGATGTTGGGACGATTATAATAACTGACCCTTCGGAAAGTAAAAATGTGGCAAAAGCAATAATAGTTAAAAATATTAACAGATGTAGTTAAGAAGATGACAAATACAGAAACATTACATAAAAAGTGACGAAAACGTTAATTTAAATTTAATAACACTGACACGAAACGCTCACTATAAAATATAATCTGCAAATTTGAGTACAGATCCATAATTTATATATTTAATGTTTGCTGCTGATAAAATTAATTAAACTTTGACTCCATTAATCAATTATATATTAATTGCATATCGTTGACTCGATTTGTTTAAAAGATAGCAATAAATATATTGACAGACGAACAAACACAAACAAAAATATAAATAGCCTCATGCACTAAAAAACACAAAATCTAATTCATGTCACTCATAGTTCATATACACATTACGAAAACTTTATCAAATTCAAAACAAGAAATTTATTCTGTCATTATTTACTAAAGGGTCAATGAAAATCAACTAATATAGGTTATATCAGAATTATTTTAATTTATTATATCGTTATATTTATATAATTAAAATACTACATAAAAAGCGAGCCGAATCTTGATCAAAATTAATTTTGACACTAGTTGACATATCAAAAATAATTCTACATTTATCAAACATATATCAAACATAAAAATGCCATTATCAGGGTGGGGCAATAGAAATGTCATATGAACCTAAAACTAAATATTCATACATCATACAATGTAATTATACAAATCGAATTATTCACAAGTACGTTAAAAATACAATATTAAAATAAAATTAATTCGTAATCGTATTAAACTTACCGCGACGAGCGCAGCTAACCTATCTTTCGTCATTGTGTATTTTATAAAATCACGCACTTAAAATACGACGGGACTTATATAAAAATTCCATCCACTAGATTTTCTATTCAACTGGCACTAACACTACAGGCACCGCCACTATATTCATAAAAATCGATATCTTCACGCAACGACTCGAACAATTCTGCAGTCCGTTTGTAGCAAGGCGCATGCGTCAGTGACGTCAAAGGAACGATTCATGTGTCGCTTAACGAGACATTTATCGATAATTGATTACATTTATTTAGACACTATTTTGCATAACTTAATGACTTTTCATGATTATGACACTCTTTGACAAGCGAACACAGAATTGATTTATCTGTCTGAATTGTATTGTTTTATATTAATTTATAAATATAAATATATGTATTCGAATACTAATATTTCCTGGTTATGTTTACTATTTTTAAAATCATGTCATATTTTCAGCACGTATTTAGACGTAGATCTAAACATAAATATATTTTCTAGCGACCACTGTATTCTAGCTCCGCGAACCTGACAAAACTCGAACACAGCTTTAGTAGAGTAGCATATGAATGATTGACTTACCAACATACGAACATGAAAACATAAGCTTTGTTTTTGTTTCGAATATTTAACTGAATCAAAGTTCTGATCCATCACGTACCTCGAAACCGCTTAATTAGATATGCCATGGAATTATCTTTAAACTATAAACAAATAAATTAACTTTTACTACTTCAATGAGCATAGTAGGGCGAAGCTCAATGTAAATTCAATGCATAGTATAAAATTCACTACATATATCATGTATTTTCACTTACGAATATTACAATCAATTAAGAAAAATGATGCTAATTAATATTATATAGTTGTGATTCGTTAATAATATCTAAGACTCAAACTCAAGTTCATATGTTAGTTATTTTGTAAAAATAATAATACTAGAAAAATATTAAAATTTATAATAATTAAACTCTGCTTAAAATTTAAAACTCTTTAAAGATCGTTTATATATTATTATTCATATTTTAGATAATTATGCAGAATATCTTACGTAATTAACGCTAATCAGTTTAGTTTTGAATGAACAAACTTACATAATTTAGAATAGATGGCATTATTAGCGGGCAAATAAATAGTTAGTTATTTTATAAATATTCTTTTTAAATACTAGGCTAATAATAAACATAATATAATCAAATGTTGATTTTATTTTAATTAGTTATACTCTGATAAAATCAAAAGATAGACAGATATTAACATTGACAGGTTTAAATTGTACAATTGTTGTCCATAGACTACTGCTACTGACATCATCAAAAATTTTGTGTTTTTATGTTGGTCACTTGGATGCGATTTAGAACCGCCTAGAAAGCGGCCATATTCGCAGTATTTTCGGTGAACAGACGAATAACGAATAATCTCTCAGCGAGTTGTGCTACGGTATAGGACTCGTAAATCGTAAGTAAAATCTATTTACATCTCATTACGTTTAGTGTAACTTTAGCGCAACGTTGGATAGAAACGTAGTCCGTTTATACTTCATCTATTTAATGGTATAAGAATTGCACTTTAATCACGATTTTAGTAGTTTCGGGTATTTGTGTTGGTTAGCCGCCGAAGTTATTTTGTGTTCGTATTTAGTTTTTTTTCGAATAGTATTTACAATTTCAACATTGTAGTATGTATGAATATTGTTTTTTGATTAATTATTGTAATTAACCTAATTTTTATTGCTTTACAGCAGAAGTAAGCATTATCTATAATCGATCAAGATGACTGATGATATGCCATCCTTCAAGTGCGTGCTGGTAGGAGACGGTGGTACTGGCAAAACGACATTCGTTAAGCGTCACTTAACCGGAGAGTTCGAGAAGAAATACGTCGCTACCTTAGGTGTAGAGGTGCATCCTTTAGTTTTCCACACAAACAGAGGTGCCATCAGATTCAACGTATGGGACACCGCCGGCCAAGAGAAATTTGGCGGGCTTCGTGATGGCTACTATATTCAAGGCCAGTGTGCTGTGATTATGTTTGATGTCACGTCCCGTGTAACATACAAGAATGTTCCTAACTGGCACAGGGATTTAGTACGAGTTTGTGAGAATATACCGATAGTTCTGTGTGGAAACAAAGTTGATATTAAGGACCGCAAAGTTAAAGCTAAGAGTATTGTGTTCCACCGGAAGAAGAACCTTCAGGTATGTAAATTCCTACATGTTACTTGAAATTTGTGTTTGAGTCTGTCTATAAAATATTCTATTTACTTATAGTACTACGATATTTCTGCCAAGTCGAACTACAATTTTGAAAAACCATTCCTGTGGTTGGCTCGCAAGCTTATTGGAGATCCCAACTTAGAGTTCGTTGCAATGCCAGCATTGGTGCCTCCAGAGGTCACCATGGACCCAGAATGGAAACAGAAGATAGAGAAGGATCTGAAGGAGGCTCAAGAAACCGCTTTGCCGGAAGATGATGAAGACTTATAAGTTACTTTGTTATAGACAACATGAATGTTTTGTATATTTTGTTAATGAAAATGGTGGGTTTGAATTTGAATAATAGAGAATGGGTTCTGCAAAATGTCGTGAAATAATTATTTTAACGCCAGATGTATTTTTTTATTCTTAATCATCTGTAAAGTGAAAAATTTAAAAATGTGAGTGCTGTAATCATGAATGCTGAGTGTAATATAACTTTTTAAAGTAACTCGCCTAATTTTTAATTATAATTTAATATAATGTTAAGCCAGTTGCATACAAGTTTCAGTGTGTATGATTTGAAAACTATTAATTATTATTACAAATGTACGAATTCTCAATAAATTTGTATTGTTACTCACTGTTTGAAATTATTTGTTTTGCATCCTTATTATGCAATTCCTGTTATATTAATTTCCTTGTCAATAGTCCGTTATCTTAATACTTCTTCCCTTATACTCATTCCATGTAACTTGCCACGAATTACTTAGCTCCCTTTATGTGTGATACTTAAAAATAATTTACAGCTAAAAAATATTAATAATAAACTAAAGCAGCCATCAATATTATTAAAGTTTTGAAGGTTTGTTTTGTGTAACTTGCATCAAAATTACTTGATTACAATTAACAGTTTTGTTCAATATAATTCACTTCTGAAGCTCTCTTTATAAATCAAACATTCGTTTGAAATAAAATGCTACTATAAAAAAATAATTTTAACTTATTGCTGACTTGCGTTTGATAAAAGGTAAACATTTTTTTTTATTATAATATGAAACTTGTTTCGAATTAAATGTAAACTGATTATTACTCAAGTATAAGATAAAATGCTTGATACGATATTCACAAAATGATATGATTGTTAATGATATTACTGCAAAAATCTAAAGATTTACAGAAAACAAGATTTTATGTCAAAAAAATATCTGAAAAACAAAACAATAAGATAGATCTGAGTAGTATAAGAAGATATATTGACAATAATTAACACCTTAATATAAGTTAAAATCTAAAAATGAATATGTATTCACATTTTATTTAGCAACAGCAGCTTTCAAAGCCTTTTCTCTTGCCTTTTTGCCTTCTGTTATTAATAAACGATCTTTCTCAGATAGTGGTGGTAATACTTTTGTTATAACTCCTGTGCCCAAAGTAAGTGATCCATCACGAAGTGTAAATCTCTGTCCTTGTTCCAGAACCATGGGGCGGAATAATTTTAAAACGAGTCTAAAATGATGTATGAATGACAAGTATTTAGATATATTTAAATATATTCAAATATGATATATTATATATATAATAAATTATTTGGAAGAATAATGCTTCATTACACTTACCTAGCATCCTCTCCAGGCATAACCATTTCTTTGTCTGGTACTACAACCTGTGCAGCACAATCCCACGTTCTTGAAAACATTTGCAGTTGAATAAAACTGGTGAAAGGTTTTGGTCTACCGCCTTCTTCTTTTGATAAAATATAAACTTGAGCTTCCACCTGTAATGATTGAAGGACCAAGGATAAATATAATTTAGAAATAACATGATTATAGGTAAAAACTTCTATGAACTAGTTCCTTAAGAGGAAACGGAGTAAAAAGATTTCTTGAAACTTAGAAATGTTCAAACGAAATATAAACAAAACAATAATTGACAATATTTTGTGAGTTTAAGATGCAAATGTTTACAAAGTTTATATCTTATTAATAACAAGAGGAACAAAAAAAAAGCATTCCTACATTGTCTTGAGCTTTTACAGATCCTGGTTTACACATAACCATTCCTCTTCTTATATCATCTCGTTTCATTCCACGAACTAAGGCACCAAGCTGATCTCCTGCTTGTGCCTCTTCTAGAATTTGATGAAACATTTCTACTCCGGTAACAGTTGACTTCAAAACCTATAAACAAACATGTAACCATTTATGTTTAACATTATTCTCTAATTAAACTTTGAGTGATATGTATATATTTTAGTCCCATATTTAAGTAAAACTTGTTATTTAAATTATTCAGATTAATTCTTAACCCTTCGTCTGGCACAGTCAAAACATGTACAAAATTGGATGCAGTGTATCTGACAGAAACAGATTTCAAGTAGATTTACAGGAGGCTCATAGTTGTATATACTTCTATTTATTAAGTGTTTTTACAATGCCGAATATGTATTTTATGAATAAATAAAAACAAAATGAGTATTAGGTTCAATTTTATTTTTATAATATAGAAAAATATAAATATATGTATATGCACTCAAAATGCTTGATGCACAAACCTTTTCTGAAATAAGTAATTTAATTAATTATATGTAAAAAATTATTAAGACGACAAACAATTATGCAAACTCAATGTTTTTTGCATGTCAAATAGAATTTGGCTCTGTGCATTTCTTTTAACAAAATTCCAACTGGCAACATATGCAAAGTTTAAAGGCAATCCAATGCAAACAAATAAATAGTAGACATAAAATAATGCGGCTACTGAGATCTGAGAGTCTCAATGACTTCACATCATGAAGCAACATACTCTAAAATATGGGCCCTGTATCTGTCAGATCAGCTGCACCCACGAAAAGTTAAAATTGTCTACATATATCAATTAAGAATAACCAAAAGAAAATTAAGTAATAAAAATTATTGATTGTATTTGATATTTCACATCAATTAACATTAAAGTTTTTGTTAAATAATATAACAATTGTATTTTCTAAATATATAAACATATCTGAATATTTAGATTATATTTCTATTCAAAGAATATCCAATTATTATAGATTTAAACTAAAATGTATAGAAAAATAAGAATGTAAATAAACTTGACTGTATGTATTAATAAAGATAACAATGTTGAATTTTTAACTAAAAAAAAAGTCATCAGGACAGAAAAAACTACATTGTCAAATATTACCTTATTATGCCCAACAAATTCACATTCAGCACCCTTCTTCAAAACACCTCGTTCAAGTCTGCCAGTAACCACAGTACCTCTTCCTTGTATACTGTATACATTTTCTACTGGAAGCAAGAATGGTTTGTCCAAATCCCTCACTGGGGTTGGTATGTATCTGTCCACCTAAAAAATAATTTCTTTAGTTAATATCTTTCTGTGTCTATTGATATTTAATGAAAGCTAAAACTGAATCAAAAAACTTTGACACAAAAATTAGTCCCATTAAAAGCAATTATTTTAAAATATTAAATAAATGTGCTAATCATATAACAATTATCTCTCTAAATATAATGATTTAGATATTAGAATAATAAAGTGTAAATTTTTGAATGTAACTGGAATTTGGAAAAAAATTAATTCAAAGAATTTCTGCATAATGTTACAAAATTATAGTTCAGATCTTTAAGAAATATTACCTCTGCCAACAATTTCATAATAGCATCAGCACCAATTTCTGGGCTTTTACCTTCCAGTGCACACAAGGCTGAGCCTGTAAGATATAAACTTAAAACCAATATTCATCACAACACTAAGCAGCTTCTACAATATCTATTACCTTTAACTACTGGTACATTATCACCATCATATCCCATTTCATTCATTAGCTCTCGAATTTCCATTTCTACTAAATCTACCATCTCCTGATCGGCAGCATCAACCTACAAAAATCAATTTTTGAATAATGATTAGAATATGTTTGCAGAAATTTTGCATATCACTCAAATAATGTATTTTTTTTTCAATACTAAATAATAAATATAAATATTTACTGTACATCACACTTGATCAACTAACCACCAATATAATAAAAATGAACTAGTGTAACAGCATAATTTCAATATTTTAACATTAGAACTCAAAAACTGTATGTGATTTTTATAAAAAACTAGCAGTGAAAGATGACACATTGCTGTGTTATGCATGTAAATAAAAATCTAACCAAAAATCGGATTGATTGTTGAGCTGTATTAGATGCATCTTTGAGTGAAATATATCACGCAGCATCCTAATATATAATATATAAGCTTATGAGCATATCACAGCAATAATTATACTATAAATACTAAACAACATACTTTACAGTACATAACACACATCAAACAATCAACTATCGAAAAATGTTCAGAAAATTTCCCAGTTATTGCCAAAATATAGTAATATGTTTATTTGCATTTTTTCTAAAAATTATCCATCAAATTACCCCATAGTAGGCAAACACATCCAATGTCTAATTTTTGATCGTAAGTGATTTTCCGAACTAAAAGGTACATTATTTACTCAAAGCCAAATACAAATTTCAAGAACACATTTTTACAAGAATAATACCTAAATATTCATCAGCACCATAAGAATAATTAAATTAATTTATGTCTTGAAAAATTCCTTTTTTAACTTAATACATTTTTATTTACTCTTATCTTATTTTTTACACCTTTGCCAGGGCAAAGGGTTCCGTTGGTTTTCAACTCGGCAGTCATATAATTAATAGTGTCTAGTGGTGTCTAGTAACAAAATAAAGGAGATGTCTTCAGAAAATTCAAAGGATGTTAAAGGTGATCAACTCATAATAAAAATAAAAATTAAAACCTGTCATAGAAAATTAAGCTTTTTCATTAACTTTGAAAAAGCTGTATCAAAAATCCAAAAAAAATTTTCACAAAAAGACAATAATTGAACAGTTCTCAATCAGGTTAAAAATTACTAATAAAATTGAGAAGTGTGGTAAGAAAGTGAAATTTAGGGCTGCATCCATGCATTTAAAAAAAAAAAAAAATTAAGAAAATTGATCCAATACATTAATAAGTGTATGAGTTAGACAACTTTTGATAAAAAAAAATTTTTGGTGAAAAATTGAGCTTTTTCATAAGCTCAAAAATCTCAATAAAAATTCAGTCAAAAATGTTCACTTACAGAAATCAAGATGGAAAATTATATAAATACTATAATTATCATTACAAAATAGAATTTTGAGAAAAAAATGTTTTTGAAATATGCATTATAAAAAAAAAATCATAAAATTGATGTAACTCCCGACTTTTAAACTCAAATGAAATATATCAACATCAAATTCAAGACTATTCAAATATATATATATACATATATATACCGCATACCGCACAATATACTTCTAACAAAACTTGAATATTATGGATTGAGAGGTGTTCCGTTAATGCTGATGTAATCCTACTTCACAAATCATCAACTGACAAGATAAACTTAGTAATGCAGAACTAGTACCAGGTAGTATTTTAGGTCTGCTACTATTCCTAATATTTGTGAATGACCTGCCCTCCAACTTAAATTGTCATTTGACCCAGTTTGCAGATGATACGGCACTGGCAGTTGCAAGCAAAGACAAAAGTTAGGAATGAAAAAAGGCAAAATGCTTGCAAACAGGCTGAAGAGTGGTTCCTCGCCAATAAAATTGTACTGAATGAAAATAAAACTGTTTCTATTAATGTTACAGCTAGTAGAAGATATATTGAACTTCAAGGCGGTGAAGTAAAATACTTGGGAATAACAATGAATAGTTTGCTGACCTGGGCCAAACATATAGATTTGCTATGCACAAGGCTCTTGAAAGCCATTTATGCCATTAGAAGAATTAGATCCATAATAAACCAGGAATGTTCCAGGGAAACCTACTTTGCTATGTCCCATTCTGGACTTTCATACGGAATATTAGCTTAAAAACATAGTGCACACTTGAAAGTTATGGATCTACAAAAGAAGGCAGTTAGAGCAATAGAAGGAGTCAAACCCCAAGAGCCTTGCGAGCCGCTATTCATCAAATACAAATTTTTGACTGTCACAAACATTTATGTTTGGCAACAAGCTATTGCGGTGCATGCTGATAAAACAAATCATTTATTGAGAAGTGATGTCCATGACCACAATACGCAGAATAAAAATGCTGTGATACGTCCAAACATATATCATCGCTAAGTACTTCATTGGGAGCCAAGAACTATAATAAGCTACCTGATGGATGTAGATGCAAAACCGTATTCACTTTTAAAAATATTGTTAAAAATTATTTACTAAATATCCCTGTTATTTTGTAAATGAATTTTTAGAATTATGTATTGTAAATGACTTAAATTGTTCTAATAAAGTTCTATTCTTTTCTATTCTATATAGATCAATGAAACGTAAATATTGAGACATCTAGTAAACATATGCTTATACATCAAATTAAAATACATCACCTTATTTATAAATACACAGATGTGGTTTACACCAATTTGTTTGGCCAATAATAAATGCTCCCTGGTTTGAGGCATAGCACCGTCTGTTGCAGCTACTACTAAAATGGCACCATCCATCTGTGCAGTTCCTGTGATCATGTTCTGAAATAGTGTAAGTATTAGAAATCCATCAGAAACCTCAGATAGAAAATATGATGAACAATGCCAAATGCTCTTATACATGAACCCTCATACATAAGGTACTTCTATAATACTTTTAAAGCACCTCTAAAGTTTGCTCTAACATAAACCGAGTGTTCATACAAACTTTTATAAAATAAACATATAGTGAAGCCTATTAAAAGCAAACTTTATTTTGATCTACTTAAAATTAGTGAAATCTCCATATGATAATAAACAATGTCCAGTTTTAACCAAGAAGTAAGTCATATTTCTGAAATTTCAAATTAAATCAGCACAAGTTAATAAAGGTAACTTTGAATGTGCTCAACATCAATAAAGAAGTATATAAATATCTTTTCACTAAAAGCAAGCCAATAACAGGCTTTTTGCAAAAAGAAGAGCATGGGGATCTGAAAGTAGTACAGAAAAACACTCAGAGGATGAGGATGTCATTCATGCCAAAAAGAAAACACTCACTTCAGATAGCACTTAATTATGATGAAGGAAATATTTAATTCATTTAATACTTTACAAGTAAGAAAATTTATCATTTATATTAAACTCTACTATGAAAAGTATGTAGAATGTTTCTTTAAATTGTTGGAATGTAACCCCTCTTTTTGTACTAGTCTTTTGTTTCATATAACACAGATTTCCGTAAAATGTTGGTTGTTTGGAACATAACTACCGTGTAATATACGTATTACCTGCATTTTTTATCATATAATCTTACTTTGATATAATCAGCATGACCTGGACAATCCGTGTGACCATAATGTCTGTTTTCTGTTTGATATTCAATGTGTGCAACATTAATCGTAATTCCACGAGCTCTTTCTTCAGGAGCATTATCAATTTCTGCGTAGCCCTTGGATTCAGCCATATCTCGATCAGCAAGTACTAGATAATATGTAAATTGTAAGTGATATATAAATCAAGCATTGCAAACATAGAAAATAATGAAATTCATATTAAATTACTTCATATTAATACAAAAATTTAATTAAAAATAAAATCACTTTTATTTGAAATAGACAATTAAAACAATGTCAAATTTATCAAGACCTAATAAATGTGAATAAACACTTAAGAACCTTGCAAAATTAATAAAAATAAATGGCTATAATAAATAAATTATTAAATATGAATAATATAATAGAATCAATTAGAATGTTCAAATAAATTATTAAATATGAATAATATAATAATGAATAGATTGAGTGCATAGAAGGTAAAATATAATAATGTTCAAATGCAACATATGAAAGAATTTATTTTCATAAACAAAAGTAATACTGTAAAATAATTGACAATATTTTACAAAATACGAATCAAATTACATTCATTTTGAAATGGTTTTTGTTCAAAGAAGAGCAAAAATAATCTTTTCCAGTATTAAGATTAATATAATGCAGTAGTCAGGAAACTTTTTTAATAATTTTCACAAAATATTTTTGTCTAAGTCGATATTACCTTCATGACAAAGAGATTATTCTCATATGGACATCTACGTAGCAAATACAAGTAACCCCCGTACAACACGGTAGTTACGTTCCAGAAAACTAGCGTGTTATGCAAATCCGTGTTATAAGGAACAAAAAACTAGTACAAAAAGAGGAGTTACGTTACAAGAATTCAAAAAAAACATGCTTTTATAATAAATATTGTTACATTAATTCATTTTTTTTTAAGAAGTAATATACATTATTTAAATTATATGATTTTTTTCGTCATAATTAACAAGTAAGTGCTATCCAACATGATCCTTTTTTAGAGGATATCCTCATCCTCTGAGCAGTTTTCTATACTACCTCTAGATCCGTGCATTATTTTTTGCAAACAAAATTATATTTGCGATTACTTGCTTTTAGCAAAATGATATTTATATATTTAACACATGTAAAGTAATATTTATTAAACTTTTATGCTCTTTTTATTTAAAGAATTGCTTAAGAATTATTTAATATATAGTTCAAATATTAAAATTTTTTTTTGATAGAACATACGCGCTCTAATAATATATATCAAATTAGTTTTTTTTTGCACTAGTTTCATCACATTTATTGAGCTATTGTACGGTGATTTTACTAATTTTAGATTAAATACAGTTTGCTTTTCATAGGTTTTACTATATTTCTTATTTTATTAAAAATTTCCTCAATTCTTAAACCGTGTTATGCAAACCCGAAAGTACCGTGTTATGAGGGGGATGGTCTCAATTTTTAAACCGTATTAGACCAAATCCGTGTTATGCGGGAGTTACCTGTACAGTAAATCTAAATTAAAAATGTATACTTTTGGCCCCAAAAATTACACTTTCACCCCATTTGGTGTAATTTACCCCGGTTCCCCAACTTCTGATATGAAGTATAAAAAATAACAGATTTAAAACAACTGTACATTCTATGGTATTAACATTTAACTAAAACTATGTGGCATTATATGGATATACCAAGAACCAGTATTTCTTCATGTTATTGATGCAACCCTGAAGTACTCTAAATAAATGCATAGTTGTAATGCTAGCATAATCTTTGAAACTGTAAAGATCTATATAATTAGTTTTATCATTTATAAATATGTAATGCACCTTTAGTGATGGCTGCTGTGAGTGTAGTCTTTCCATGGTCGACATGCCCTATAGTTCCTACGTTACAATGTGGCTTATCCCTTAGGAAGACCTTTTTTTCAGTTGCATAAGATCGCCGATGAGGACTGATGCACAATATACTCGAAACGGGATATTTACATAACGATGATTCATTAAACAATATTAATCTCTTTAAAGTCTGCCGGAGAACTAAAACAAGAACACAAAATAACTAAAATATTAATTTATATGTGTAATTAACTACATAACCTATGTGGTGCACACACAAAGGCACATTTCAAAACTACTGTCGTTTAGTGTAGGATTATTACATGAAAATTTTAATTACTTACTAGGACTTAAAATAGCTCTAGAAGTAATATATGAAGCCATGGTGAACTGTATAAAACTTGTTCATAAATTAGGATATTGTGACGAGAAATACACCGTGCAATGCTCCGCCTGACAATCGAATAAAATATATCGATAGTTTTCATTGAATAAAGCGTTGCTGGAATTATCGATGTTGAAAGCAATATTATTCATCTTAATGAAAATTGTGCAAAAACTATAATTTTTTTATTATTACATGCAAATCAAATCTTCCATTTTAAAAACAACTAATCAAATACATTAGTTTGAAGATAATTGTTCTTGTTAAATCGATATTATGGGGCTTACATAAGTCACAGGTTGTCAAATAAATTTGTTCGTGTTCTGTTCAACAGCATTGCCATAATCTCACCTGCTTATATGATGAGAACACCAACTAGTGGTGCATGGCGTCGTGCCTTAAGGCAAATTGCTGGAACTTTCCGTACCAAAAATTAAATTTTTTCAAAGGTTAAAGAAATTTTTGAGAATCTTGAAATTTGTGAAAAAAATGAATGAAAAATTTGAATATTTTTTGTTTTAAATTTTTTTGTAAACATTTTTTCAAAGCAATCGCGCTGCGTAGCTCTTATAGAAATGAAATATCAAAGCGCGTAAGCGCCGTGTTGCAGTCTATTGGATAAACGCTCGTACGGAACCCATAAAAATGTAAACAAAATTTGAACATATAATTTTTTCTCTTCATTGACATAATATTTTCATATTTCCTGCCTGGTATAAGAGATATCTGGTGCCTGGTATAAGAGATTTATGTAATTTTTTTATATATACATATTTCATTCTATATTTAGCCATTTTTTATTTTAGCCTTAAGTCAGCTATTTTTTATCTCTTCAATCTCTTTCATCTTCAATATCTTTATAATATTTCTTTAGTTTTTTTTCGAAATTATTGTCATCACAATTATTATTAACATTTCTATAATATATCTGATAATTTGATGTACATATGTCTAATGATCGTTTATGGCCGCCAAATGGCACATTTTTGCTACTTTTTTCACAGAACCTCCCAAACCGATACACCTGCATTCTCAAAAAATTAATTAGTTCTTCATTTTGTCAATACAAAGAAAATGGTAATGAATTATTGAAATCGGTCATTTCGCTTTCTCAAAAACTGAATTACGATTTTTGGCACCTTTTGCCCCTTATCTTTGAAACGGGGCTACACCTGCCTCTACCAAAAACTAATCAGCACGTTTCCTTATCGATAGGAATCGAATGTTTTGTGAATCATTCAAATCGGTTGAACCGTATTCCCGAAATCGTCGACGAAAATTTGTATCCGAACACACAACACACACACACATACACACAAACACACACATACATCCATTTTTCTTGAGGTACGCCAAAATGTTCCGAAACCTCAAAAAAATTTCATTCTCGATTTTTTTTCGATTACTATAACCGTAGGTTAAGGAAAGTTAAAAATTAAACCTTTTCAAAAAGAATATATCTTTTTTCTGAGCGTTTGAATATTTTAAATTACGATACGGGAAGTTCCTTACTAGCTTAATATTTCCTTTTTATTTATTTTATTTTAGTATTATTTTGTTCTTTAATTTTCTGTTACCTTTTACTAAAGTTCATCATAGTAGCTTGTATTTGAACATGCTTTCTATTATTTTATAATATGCTACATATTCTGTGCAATTAACTCTGACTATCTGATCTAGTAACTTCTGTTACTAGATGTTTTAAAAACAGTTGTAGCATAAATAAAAAAATGTGCATATTAACATAATTCAGTATTCATGATTATCATTACTGAATCAAAAAAAAGCTTCAAGATCTTTTTGATACTGAAATCTGAAACAATATGTAAGTCTTATAGTAACTATTGTGCATATTACTAAAATATAGTAGATATAATAAATTATGTACATATATGTAATAAAATGCTATATTTCAAGAACAATCAAGCATGATAAAAAATTAAGGATAATTTACAAATTAGAAATTACACATAGTTACATCAGATGTGCGAAAACAATCATCCTTCATGGCTGAATTATTTCTGAAATTATTAATTTAGTTATTATTCATTAAATAATAGTATAAGTGTTTAAAAAGTATCTAGTATAGCGATATTCACATACATTACTAATTCAAGACCATTGCCCGTATTAATTCATGTTATTAGCTAAGACATGTGCATTTCTCACTAAACGAAGCTTGACCCCGGGTGCTGATTCCTTCAGGTCGCTATCTACCATAGCCTAAAAAAAATATAATTGCTATGAATATTTATAGAAATAAATTTAAATAGAGATTTACGGCTTAAAATGATTTTTTTAAATTTTTGTGAATATTATTGGTTATTATAGATAAACCAATAAACCAGAGAGATTCTTAATAATCAAATGTAGGAAAAATACTAATGTCAAAAAATGACTTAAATTCTTTTATTTCCATACGAATGCAGTCAGGATATGTTACGAATGGAGTATCAGTGGTAGTCGCTCTTTATCCTGATGTGTCGAGAAGTTTATTTTATAACAAAGAAATACCTTTAGTTATATGTCGTTTTAAATTACTTTCACGATTACTATTCCATTGTAACATTTTTGACAAAATAAAATAAATAATTAAAAATAAAGTATAAAGTTTCTCTCTACAGTAATTGTCTATTATTAGGTATATCTTTTCAGTAACTGTTTCCTAAACCTGATATGTGATTCTTTGAATTCGGGGCATGTAGTCTCCCGCTTGGTTAGAATTGCAAATGAACGTGGGCTCTTCACTAAAATTGGAATATCGAGAGCGAGATGTTCGCAATTGGCACAGTGAAATCCTTTCTCCGGTATTGTCCGCATATCCCAAATTGTCTGCATCTTCAGAAGCTGCCAAATAGGCGCGGTGATAAGCTTGGTGTGGTAGTGCTGACGAATTTTGCGCATTGGGCGTGCCTGATGGGAATTAGATATTTGTAAATATATAAATATTTGTTATAAACATTTAACTATAATTTTTTAATAATATTATATCTTTTACATATGTTTAACAGAGTGGGGTGGGTAACAAAAGTCCAATTTAACTTTTACTAATTATACTATGAAACCAAATTAACCAGATGTTTGTCTACACACCTATCAAGACTTGTAATGGAGCATCCAATGTTTTAGCATTGATACATCGAAATTCTCTTTCCAGCAACTGCCTTCTCCGCCTCCGTTCGTCATCAGTTTCGCGCAGTACGCCGAGGTCGTATCGTTGTCCTGGTGCTTTTGCCTTGATTGGTATTTGAGAGGATTTTATTTTCTCGGCAGTAGCGTATGATATAGCGGTCATTGTTGTTTCAGATTCATTTTCAGAGCAATCCTCCAAATTTGATATGATATTCTCTGTTTTGTCTGTTATGCTAAGGCGCCTTCTGCAAATGAAAATAAGACATGTTTTTTATGTAATGTTGCAAATTTGCTGAAAAGTGACGAATGCCCTTCATGTAATATGTAAGTATGAATAATAAGGTTATACCCGAAGTCTCCACCATCAAATACTTTGGTATTTATTTGGATAAAAAATTGAACTGGATACAACCCAAAAATCATAAAATAAATCACCTACAGAGTAAGGTTAAGTCACTCTATTGGCAAATAGGTCGTAACTGAAAGCTATGCCTGAGCAAAAAAGTTCTCATATACAAAGTTTTTATAGTACCCATTTGGACCTATGGGGTTGAACTCAGGAGACGAAAAATGAATTAAGTCCTTAGAGAGAACACAATAAAAAATTATAAGACTCATAGCAAACATGGTATGTGTCCAATCAAATCTTGCATAATGGCTTCCTCATCAAAACAGTTCAAAAAGTAATTAGCAAAAGAAGCACATCCCACTTTGCCTGGCCTTATAACCATGTAAACACAAGCATACAACTATAGTAGCTGGCGAACTCCCAAGACAGAAGACTTTCTTTTTTTAATTATATTTTTAACAGCAATCAGAACCTTACGTTCTATGAGCTGTTGGGCTGAAACTTCTCCTTCGTATTTTTTTTTAGATGGTAACCCAATGGTTAATCCATCCATATTTGATGATTTTTGTTATTAGAATTAATCTAATAGGGCTGACTTTTTATTGGTGCAGCAATGCCGGGCAAGGGCTATTTTTACTTGGAAACATTGCTATCAATATTTCCAAGTGAAAATCGTTGTCACTGCTGCCTGACAAAAGGCTGCTCGAAGTGGGTATCGAACCCGGGGACCTCTGAAACAAGTCCCGAAGACAGAAGACTGAAAAAAAAACAATCTAGACCTTTAAGGAATCAGTGATCCTGAATGAAGGATCATCGACCATGCCAATTTTTTATACTTAATATGCAGTTAAATATGTAGCCAAACAGCTACAGGACAGCAATATCTTCAATGTTAAAAAAAATGTTGAAAATTTTGTTACACCATTTGCTTGCTATATTTAATAAATAGAATAATTCCACTTGTAAATAATGATATAAAAACGCGCAGAAAAAGAATTTAGCTTAAAATGTATAATTAAAAGTTATTTATGATGATCGAAAATTCCTATACAATCACGAATAACTAATGTAGTAAAGGGTCCATATCCAAAAAGATAATAAATAATGTTATGTCTTGCAACATTTCGCTATAAAACGAAAATTATTCAAACAAGGCAATAATTAATTTCACTACTAAACTGTCTTATGCTGTATAAATTTCTACACCAACTCTAAATGGTAAAGTAATCTCTATCTACCTATTAACACTTTAGCTTTACATGTGTCGACCCTTGTTTGCTTCAATTTTATACCGTGAGATAAATTATTGAGAATTATAATTTATTATAAATTTTATTGATAATGATGGGAAAATCTTGAAATATATTGTTTCTGGCCCGTTCAGCAGTTTTACAGGGCGGCTAGCTGGCCCGTACAGCAGTCTCTCCAGCGGAAATGGTTAATATTAAAAAACTGATAGCTCAAAAACGTAAGATAAAAAATGACAAATTACAAGATCATAAACGATAAATATAAAATTAATAGTCCCTGCAAAAACTTCAAAATACTATTAAAAAAAATCAAAAACAAATCGTTAAAAAATGATTTAAATAACCTCTCACCGAATAGAGATACAAACTATTCTTTTTCAAAGGTAACAAGTAGATAGAAAATACAAATAATGCAAATACTACAAGTGAGAAAGTCTGATGGATCCTGGGCAGTAAAAGCGCTGAAAAAAAATCGACAGAAATTGTAGAACATTTACGAACGACATTCCAGTCTTATCTGCCTAGTTGCACAGCATGGAACGAAAAACTTATAAATTATTTTCTAAACTAGCTGTAAGTGGAATTCTGTCTTAAGGCAATTAAGGCATCGTGCATTAAATTTAAATTTTTTTTTTTTTTAATTTATTTTTTCAAAAAAATTTTTTTTCTTTATTTCGACATATTTTGGAAACTTTTTTGCAAAGCAATCGTACTGCTTTAACTGCATAACGATGAAATATCAAAGCGCGTAAGCGCCGCGTCGCCGTCTAACGCGTAAACATTGGTACGGAACCCATAGGAATGTAAACCAAATTTATACTTATTGTTAAAATCTCTAAAAAAAATCTGATAATTTGATGTGCATATGTCTAATGATCATTTTTGACCGCCAAATGTCATTTTTTTTACTTTTTTCATTAGATCTCCGAAACCGCTAGACCTGCCTTTATGAAAATTTGATCGGTTCTTCACCTTGTCAATACAAGTAAAATGTTTTTTGAATTATTAAAATCGGACGCTCCGTTCTCTTAAAAACTGAGTTACCGTTTTTGGCACTTTTTGCCCCGTATCTTCGGAACCGCTACACCTGCCTTTGCCAAAAACTAATCAGCACGTCTCCTTATCAATACGAATCGAATGTTTTTTGAATTATTCAAATCGGTTGATCGGTGTTCCCGAAATCGTCGACGAAAATTTGTATCCGCACATACATACACACACATACACACACACACACACACACACACACACATACATCCATTTTTTCTAAGGTATGCCAAAATATTCAGAAACTTTTGAAACGTCGAGAAATGCAAAAATTTTCATTTTCGATTTTTTTGCGATTCACCAAAGCCAAGACATCAAACAGTTAAACGAATTTCATTAACAGAAATAAAATAATATATAAACAATACCTGGAAAATCTACTGGACTTGATAAGATTTTGATTAAACATTTTGTTAGGACATTTTAATTTTATTTTTTAGAAAGACACTAATTCAAGTAATAAGTACTGATATCAAAACTTAGAAAAATAGAATTTAGATCTCAGTATATATAAATAAATAATTATTTATGATAAACTAATTTTGTTTATATAAAATTCCTTTATCTCTTCGATTATGTGAATCACACTTTTACAAATTATTATTGAAGTAAAACTTCTTTAGGGTGTAAACCAGTACAAATGCAACTGCAGATAAGATAAGAGTCGTCATTGACTCTCGATAATACCATTTCTATACGAATCGATTGTGATTAGTCGTCGTGCAAGTCAATAGAGATCTGTCGTTGTATGCGTACCGGCGTCGACGTTGTATACGTACCGATACCAACAAGGAAATCGGCATAGATAAACATTTTAAAGTTACACCGTAGTACTAATCTTGATTTAATGAAAAATACCTGAATCAGAAGAATATTTTACCCTGTTCCTTGAAAATAATAAAACAAATTAAACATATGTTCCGTGAACTAAAAGTAAGTTTATTGATTAGAAATTATTTCTATATTATTCGTAGTTTTTATAAATCTTTGAAGTTATTAAAATAGAAAATATTTTTTAGGCAAGACAGATAGTACAGTTGTTCAAAGAATGAGATTATATCGCCAGTAAAGAAATAAAAAAAAATACAAGCAGTCAATGGATGTATGTTAATTTCAATTACCTGAAGTTCTTCAAACACAATTACATGATGAGTGAAGTTGCAAAAACAACATTTGTTTAGGCGTTGTTTAACACAATCCACTATGTAAACAAATATTATAGAATTTATTAATTAGCAATTACTTCATTTCTCTAATGATGGTTTATTTCTAAATGCTAATTACAATGACAAACCGATCATGTCATATTTGAAGTATGACTTTAATTACATTATTGTTTTCAAATATTATACATATTTTTAATGCTAATATAAATATATAATTTATATTTTAACATTATATAATTGTGTATAATGGTTGACACTAATAAATGTGTGCATCATGAGTGTTATCATATTACTAATAAACATTATTCAGAATTGTTATATGATGTATTTATTTTCACTTAAATGCCATCTTGTACAGTAGCAAATAAGTTTTACTTCAATCGCGTGTGAACCTTACGCGCACTCTTTTTTATAAAGAGACTAATTCAAGTAATAATTCCTGATACCAAAACTCAGAAAAATAGATTTTGAATCTCAGTATATATAAATAAATAATTATTTATGATGAACTAATTTTATTTATAAAAAATTCCTTTATCTCTTCAATTATATAAATTACACTTTTACAAATTTTTGTTTTTTTCTTACATTTTTACGAAATACTAAAGTTCATTTTATTAAAGTTGACAAACATGATTATAACATTTAAATACAATTAGTAATTATACCTTTGTAGATCTATATGTCGAACTTTCTAGATCAAAAGATAAAGCGAACTACATGTTGACATTGTGTCTTAATCAGATTAACAAAACTTACACCACAGTTTTTTAAAGTTGTCCCTAATTTAGAGCACACCGAGTAGATGCAATAAAAGTAATAAAAACACAAAAAAAAAACATACAATTAGCTTATAGTCGCACAAAATTTCAAAATCAATTTTGTAAGCTTTTATTAATAAGTAGCTATATATAGACAGTCATTCCTAATAATATTATTAAACTAATTGAGCATATTGCACTTTATATGTGTAGATTGTTATATAAAAAAGTATAATACAAATGAATTAAAATATAATCTAAAAATACCTTTCATAATGTTTTGGCATTATGGTTTCTGAAAATGTTCTCCATAGATTCATAGTTTGATATATAGAACGATAATTGCAAAGAAAAGAAAAAAAATAGTGCACTAAAATTTACTGAAAATAAATAAAAATTATGAAATTTAGTCTAAGGTAAAAATATATTTATTTGATTTTTTGTTTTTTTAATATTAATGTTTCACATATGAACATTTTGTAGTGAAAACAATGGGTTGACATTATAGACATTGACATTTGGAATTATGAATACTAATATATTTTTTCAGTGTAATTATTTATTTTTAAAATGCACATTCTCATTTTTAATTCAATTAGTAGTGCATGGCAACGTGCCTTAAGGCAAATTGCTGGAACTTCCCGTACAATAATGAAATATTCGAAAATTTTT